GGTGGGGAAGCCTAGCAGCAGGTAGCTGGGGCAGAAGCTGAGAGATCACATCTTCAACCATGTGCAGTAAACAGAATAAGTGAACTGGAAGTGGAGTGAGGGTATAAATCCTCAAATCCCACCCCCAGTGACATACATCCTCCTGTAAGGCTCTACTCCTAAGGGTTCCATAACCTCCCCAAAGAGTACCACCAATCAGGAACCAAGTCTCAATATGAGTCTATTGGGGGGGGGGTGCATTTTTTTTTCTCCAAGTCAACCAGAGAGGAATGGCAGACTGAGAGGTAAAGTGTTGGGAAGGTCATAGAGAATGTGGTGATCAGAATTCATTTTATTTTCAGTATCATGAGGAGTCATTAAAAATTTTAAAGCTTAGGAAGGAAGTGATTTTATTTTACTTCAGGAAAGAAAACCATCTTTCCTGGTTTGTGACGAATAAGTGGAAGGCAGAAGTGGACACAGGGAGGTGGGGAGGTGCTTTCGGTAGGTAAGTTGAGAGACTAGAAGCTTTGGGTTTGAAACACGATTTCTTCTAGAAACAGCTGAAGCACAGCTCAGCTGTCTTTTAGTAAGTCTGCAGTACAGTTTAGAGTGGGATATAATTTTCCAAGGCCATGCATGGCTTTACATTTTTAACTATGTGATAATCTTAGCTTTGGGCCTCAGCATATTTTCCATCCATCATGTAACATTGCTCTTACCATGCTAACTGTTGCTCATAAATCAAGTCTGAACTTTCAAAAACTCATTTAAAAGTTATTAGTTTATTTTAAAAACTAACTTACAAAATAATAGTTTTCTTATGACATTTTCATACATGTTTCATTTTGAAAACCTGTTTTTCAATGAGTGTGTCCAAAAGTCACCAATATTGGTTTGTCTGTCCAGTAAATTCTCATTGGTATCCAGGTTTATGGATATTATTGCTAAAATTGTTTTTCTTTTTTCTCATTTGCTTATTTATTTTTGTGTGTTAGGGGTGTGATGCTCAGAGGGTAACTTGTGGGCGTTGGTCCTCTCCTTCCGCCATGTGGGTTCTAAGGGTCACACTCGGGTTGTCAGGCTTGGCAGCAAGTGCTCTTACCCACTGAGCCATTTTGCTTGCCCTGCTTTTCCTTCTTAAACAGGGTTTCATTCCTACCTATCCTAGAACTCACTGTATAGACCAAGATGACCTTCCTAGAACTTGAAGCAATTCTCCTGCCTCTACCTCCCAATTACTAAGATTACAGGTTTACATTACTTTGCCTAGTCTAGCTGTAAATATTTATTTATATTGACCTTTTTGAAACAGAATCTCATGTAGCCCAGGCTGGCCTCAAAATTGTTGAGGATGCCTTGCAGGTCTGAGATTCTAGCAGCAGCACACTCTGTTTATTGGTCTGTTTCTCTCTGTGTAGTGTTCTGCTTTACTTACTAGATTGTAAGCTACTAGATGCAGAGACAACTGTGTCTTGTATACTCAACTCATCCTTTGTACTTTGAATTAGACTAATCTTTTGTTGCATGAATAATTTATACTTGTTAGATATATTTGAGTTGTCTAATTGTTAGATTTTATCTGAAACAATCCATTAATAGATTATATATGTCATTTTCTTATTCCTATAGTTGGCTATGTCTTTGTTGTTTGATACTACTTTTGAGTTCTTTACTGAGAAGAGACTGCAAGTTCAAAGCCAGTGTGGGCTATACAGTGAATATGAGACCAGCCTGGGCTACATGGTGAGAACTTCTCTCAAAAAACAAAACAAAACAAAACAAAAAACCAACAACCAAATAAACTCCTCAAACTCCTTTGCTTTAAGTTATGAGCATATATCTGTCTGTCTGTCTGTCTATCATCTATCGCCTATCTATCCACCCATCCATCCATGTATCTATGTGTGTTTATGTGGTGTATATATATAGGTATGTTCACCTGAGCATGTGCATGTGAAGGAAGAGGTTGATGTCAGGTGTTTTCCTCTATTACGTTTTTTATCTTATGTTTTGAAAGTGTTTATTTATTTATATGTATGAGTACATTGCACATGTGTGTTTATGCACACACAGAGGCCCAAAGAGAGTATATGTGTGAGTTTATTGCACATGTGTTTTTGTGCACACGTGGAGGCCCAAAGAAGGTATTTGTTTCCTTTTCTGTCACCATCTGTCCTTTGAGGCAGAATTTTTCCTAAACCCAGGGCTTGCGAGCTCTAGTGATCCACCTGTCTTGCTCCTCTTGGAGCTGGGGTTACAGGTGTGCATGGGATGCTAGGCTTTACATGGGTGCTGAGGATCTGAACTCAGGTCCTCTTGCTTCTGTAGCAAACATTTTACCAACTGAAACTCCTCAGTCCCTGTTTGAGTTATAAGCCTTCATTTCTCCTTGGGGTTCATGAATAATGAAACAATGTTGCTCTTTGCTGCTACTGGGTTGATGTGGACTTCCCTTTCTGGGGCAGGAAGTGGTAAGGATGGAGTGAGCAACCTAAGCTGCCAGGCTGCCTGGACAACTCTAATACCAGGCCATGTTAGGTTGCAGGTTAGGATTTTCGTTGCCATCCAAGCTTTCTTGTGTACTACTGACTTGTAAACTAGCAAGGCAGACTTGATAAGTGACCATATGACTTCTCATCCACACCAACTGAACCACACCAGTGGGAAGCCATCACTAGGGCTTGAACCCAGGGCCTTGTTCATGCTAGAAAAGTGTTATAATGTTCCCCTTGACCTCCCTTCCAGCCACTGATTTTACTGCCTAACAGCAGATTCCCTAGACTCTAGGCACAGTTTCTGTAAGTCTGAGATAAAGTCTTAGGGTTTGAATTTTAAGAAAACTCCCAGTGACTGGTGCTTTGTAGACTCTCATCCAAGTAAGAAAGAGATTGTGTCATCCTTTTTATTCTCCCTTTTGTGATTCTGAGGCTTGAACCTGGGGCCCTGTGCATGCTAAGCCAGTGCTCTGTCCCTGAGCTACACTCCAGTCCCCCAATTTCTTTTTACTTCAGTTGCCCATGGCCTTTCCTTTCACAGTGCTTGTACATAGAGTTGTTGAGGTTGAGAAGCCCAGAGGAAGTATGTCCAGCCTGGAACTGTCAGGCTGTGTGCTTGGTCAGTACTTACTGTGTTCTGAGCCCCCTGCTGTGTGGTAGAAGCCACATGTGTGGCTTTCTGCTGTTTCCTTTTCTAACCACAGGCTGGTATCTTTACCTCCATGGATAACAGATTGCTTTCTGGCTCTCCTTCTCATTCGTTCTTCCCACTCACCATTCCTCCACACTCAAATCTATTTAAAAAATATTTCCATAGTTTTATAAAATTACACTGTCTTCATTCCCTTACTGGTCTTTTTGTTCCTATTTATTTGATTCTATGGTATACTGCCATCAGGAAACACTGCAAAGTTATAAAGTACCCTAACTGTGGAATGTTCATATGCTCCTACCCAGGAACAGCTGCTGTGTGCAAGCAGTATCTTTTGACTTCCTTGGAGGTTGGTTTGGTCTGTTTTCTGTGACTTCTCAATGAATATTTTCCTGATTGTTTTCCATCAATGTATAATTTACAACTGATAACACTTCTGCTGTTCTATACTCATTTTTTTTTTTGGCATGTGTGGGGTCATGGAATCACCAGCACAGTTTAGAGAGTGCCCATCACCCCAGAAAGTTCCCTTGAGCCTCCCGCGAGCACTCACATCCCTCCCAGACCTTGGCAGCAGACAATCTATTTTCAGTCTCTGTGGCCTTTCCTTTCTAGAATGTCATTATATATAATGTGTGTTTTGCTTAGAATACTGCATTTTATGCATATATGTAGTTCCTATGGGTGTGTGTATGTTCTTTTTTACTGTTGAGTAGTATTCCATTGTGTGGACCTATCATGGTGGTGGTGTTGGTCGTGGAAATGGTGTTGGTGTTGGTGGTGCGCTGTGTGTGTGTGTGTATGTGTGTGTGTGTGTGTGTGTGTGTGTGTGTGTGTGTGTGTGTGTGTATTTATATACAAGTGTACCTATGTGTACTGAAGACCAAACCAAGGGCCTCATGCATGCTACACAAGTGCATTACCATTGAGCCATCCCCAAACCCTGGCATTCTTGACTTTTGTCTGGGATGAAGCTCCTACAGCTCGAAGTTGGATAACTGAAGTATGTGACTGCTTGGTAGTGATTAATATAGGAAAGCTTGGTATGCCACAGTCTAGAGAGAGAAACATAACCAACATGAACAATACTACCCAACATATATGATCCAAAGTATGCACATAATGTCAGCTACACAAGAAAGTCTCCAGGGATCATTTCATTGGCATTGATTTCCATTAATGATGAGGCCCTGGAAGCCCAGCAGTGGTCAAGCACATATCATTTCCTGATATTGGCTTTGCTTCATTGGTTCTGGCTATATCTAGAAACAATATAAACTATTTAAACTGGAATTTCATTCTTGCATTATAAAATAAATTCTAAAAATTGGGGATAGGTACATTTTATATCAACTACTCTCAACTGTTCATTCATTCAGTTTTTGTGGAATTGGGGACTGTCTAGGGCTTCATACATGGTAGGCAAATGTACCATTGAGCTGCATGCATAGATGGCCTCCTCCCTGTTCTTATTATTTTAAGGTAAAGTTGCCCAGGTTGGTCTTGAATTTTCTATGTAGCCTAGACTGGACTTAAACTTGTCATTTCTCTACCTCAGCCTCTCAAGTAGCCAGGATTATGGGACTGTACTACCAGATCAACTGTGTGTTTAATAAACATTTTAAAATATGATTAAAGTGTAATTCAGCATTTTATTATATACTTTTATTTCAAATATTATATATTTTGTCCTGCCAAAGTCTTCATTTTAAAAGAAAATAATTTTTAAGAAGACCACTTGAGTACATTCAGATTTGAGAGTTTCATTCATTTTGTTACTCACTCTTTAATAGATGCAAGTTTTGGCAGAAAATGCATAGTTTGCAAAAGTCAGACAAGCTGACATTTCTTTTTGTTCTTCTTTCATTCAGGTGTTTGCTTCAGAATGGTAAGTGAAACCTGTCTCTTATTTTTATGCCTTTTTTTCTTACTATTGATTTTAATCATAGAGGCATTTTCGACCCATTTTCTAACCTACTGATTATATCCTATTCTTGACAACTGATGATATTTTTCTTAAAATTTACTGTTTGTGAGTTCTATTAGAACTATCTTTAAAGTTTTATTATAGCTTTCCTAGGTTTTAGAGTTTTCTATGAATTTCAAAAGTATTCTGGCATGTGATTCTAATTAAGCATTTGGCTAAGTATACTAGATACAAATTATGGGTTCTCTCTCATGTTTTAGGTGCACACCCTCCTGAGCCAGGGGCACATCTCACACTGTATAGCACATTTTAGCAGTAAGACCCACTTCCACCCCTGCTTTTGGTTTTGTCTTTAAAAATGCCCCTTCCCTCAAACTTAACTGTAGTTTGTATTTTCACCTACTCTCTGATCTGGGTATCACTATTTTAGGTGTCTGGTTGCTGACCCCAAGAGTCCCACCACGTCCCCATCAGTCAAGCTCCTCTTATTTCAGGATAACTCTGTCCTTTAGTGTTCATTGCCCCGATTTTCATTATTTTCTTGATTTTCAGACTAGCTCCTGCATTTGTTCATAACCAACTCTATCAGAACCATCTAACTGTACACTAGCCTCTAGATCACTGTGTGTAGGCCTATGTTCTTGCTCGTTTGATTTTATTATTAAAATTGTATCTATTTTTTTTTTTGAATTTTCAAAATGGATCCAGTATCTATTTCTGCCTGTATGTATTTTATGTTGATCACAAACTGATAGTTTTAAATCAGTGATTGAGAATCCTGGGTTCATCAGTCTTTGAAACCCAGATTAACAATATAACTCATCATTAATGGATGTGAGGAAAACACAATTGAATTTTATGTACTAGAAACTATTGAAACAGATCTCACTATTGGTCTGTTTTTCTCTAATTGCACTGATCTTATAAATAGTGGCGAGACTGCAGGTCAGCTACGCAAGCACATAGAGTGTATTCCATGTTTTGCCTGCATGTATGTCTATGTACCACTTGCATACTTAGTGCCCACAGAGGCCAGATAGGACATTGGATCTCCTGGAACTGAAGTTACAGATGGTTATGAGCAACCATGTGGGTGCTGGGAATTGAACCCTGTCCTCTGCAAGAGCAGCAGGTCCTTTTAACTATGGAGCTATCTCTCCAGTCCCACAGACTATATTTTAGAAAAAAAATAATGTCAAGTTAGCAGTTTCTTAACCACTGAACCATCTCTCTACTCTCCTTAAAGTATATATTTGTAATTAATATCTCATTTATTTATTACTGGAACTCTGATACATTTTCAACTAGAGTTGTTTTATAAGTATAGACTTCTAACGATGGACTTGACCTCTCTTGTTTTCTTTCCTGAAATCAGTACACAGAAGGAGAAGCTAAGAAGAGAGGAGTGGTTGGCTGGGTGAAGAATACTAGCAAAGGGACTGTGACAGGTCAAGTGCAAGGTCCCGAAGAAAAGGTGGATTCCATGTGAGTAGTAAGACCAGCATGTCTACAACATTTGTGAAGCTGTTTTGATATTTTGATTTTTTTTTTGGATAATAGTGGCACCAATGGCCAGATTTAGTTCTCATGGTTTATAACTAGGATGGAGTGTTTGTAGGTAGGCCACAGTCAAAGTGGCGTTTCTTTGTTGGGAATAAACTTCTCTCTTGGGCAGAGTTCAAGAAGAACTATTGTACTGCTTCCTAATATGTCATCTCAAGTCTCCCCCAACATGGAGTCCATATCCAGGACCCAAGTATTTATCATTTCAAATGTTAGGACAGAGCACAATGCCTAAATAAAGATGGTTCTTAAAGTTCTTAATGTAGTCCTCAAGGCAAAAAATTGCCATTTCCGTTTTATTGTATAATAATGTATTTACCTAATTGTAGTTTTATTTTTCTGATAATAGAATCGTTTAATGAATACTATTATTACCATAGTACAAGCCCTTACAGTCTAAAGGAGAGCAGATTCAGAGTGAGGGTGACTGTGTCAAGTCTATGTAATACCATTTTCAAAGGCTTTGGATTTTCAGCTTCACAATTTTTTAAAAATAAAATAGTTAACTTTTATTGAGCATTTACAACATGTTGGGAATGAGCTAAACACTTTGCATGAATTATTATATATAGTCTTTTCAACAGGGCCTATGAATTAGATACTAAATCATAGTTTATTTATAAGTTATTTTTTTAATGTTTTCATGCTTCAAAAGTAATATTTCTTTGTAAAATTGTTGTAATAAGCATGATAACAGAATGTAGAGATATGACAGCAAAGCTGGTTACCACTCTTTCCTATTTCCTTCTAAATGGAACCTGTCCCAGTGGCCTTGAGAATACCTTCAACAGCTGCCTCTTTTCTTAAAAACATTGGTGTACAGTAAAATTTATTGGATTTTATGTATATGGGTGTTTTGTAGGAATGTATGTCTATATACCATGTGTATTAATGGTGTCCAAGGATGGCAGAAGAGGGAGTTGAATCTCCTGAAACTGGATGGAGTTAAGCATGGTTGTGAACCTCCAAGCAGATTCTAGGAATTGAATCTGATTCTTCTGGAAGAGTGGCCAGTGTTCTTAACCACTGAGCCATCTCTCTAGTCTCCTTAAAGTATATATTTGTAATTAATATCTCAGTTATTTATTGCTGGAACTCTGATATATTTTCAACAACATGTTTTCATTTGATATGCATTTTATAGTCAGTTAGTTTATAATGACTGAATTCTTAGTTTTCGAATTTATTTGTATATAGCTATGTATTTGCATTTATATGTAAAATTGTGCACCCCCTCTTGGTGTTCTATTGCTGTGAGAAAACACCATGTCCAAGGTAACTCATATAGATGGAAGCATTTAATTGAGGGCATGCTTACAGTTTCAGAGGTTTAGCCTATTATCATCACATGGGTAGCATGGAAGCAGGGAGAAAGACATGGTGCTGGAGAAGTAGCTAAGATTGATATCCTGATCTACAGGCAGCAGGTAGAAAGCCACTCACCTGGCATGGGCTTTTGAACCTCAAAGTCCACCCCTAGTGACATTCTTCCTCCTTCAAGACCACACCATCTGTACGTTCTAATCCTTCTTTGTTCCACTGAGGACTAAACATGCAAATCCATGAGCCTATAGGGACCTTTCTCATTTAAACTAAAACCTCCTAGCCACCAACTTGAAAAGTCATGTCTAAAAGTGATCTTACATAAAACATGAGTTAACAATTAACCATTAAGTAACAATAGGATTCTCATAAATGCAGAAAATATGGGAGACATTGTACAAAACTGGTAGTTATAAGGATAGGAAAATGCAGATGATTGTGAAGTGGTTTAAGGGTGGAGACTGTGAGAGGACTGAAGCTCCAGCCACTCATGTTGCATTCCTAGTCCTCAGGTAAGCATGGATTGGATGTTACTTGACATAAATGGAGTCATGTCACTGTCTCCTTTCTTCTCAACCTTGTAAGTACTGAGTGCTAGCAAGCTGGTTAGTAACCTTCTGTGCTGTGTCCTGGTCACATTCTCTCTTTCTTTCTTTGTCTCTGTTCCTTACAACCACACAGACAGAGAGAAGGACAAAGACAGACATACTTTGGCATATAAACATCAACAATTTTTGCACAAAATTTGGTTTTTAAAAATAAAGCCATAGTTTCCTATATCACATTTTGTCACTTAAGATGCTTCTAAGAAAATTCTTCTGATGTATATTCTTCTTAATGTATGCTTTAATAATAATAATAATAATGTGTGCCATTATTTGTTATCTCATTGCTTTGAATGCTTGTTGTTGTTACTTGCTCTTTAGTAGGAGGATGCTGCCATAAGCCTTTGATTGGTCCTTTTATCTTGTTTTTATGGGATGGATTCCCAGAAGTGTGATTTGTTGAGGTGTATTTCGTGTAAAATATTCACCAGACTCTGTATTAGTTTCATTTCTGTTGTGATAAAATGCTGACAAAAGCAGTTTACAGGAAACAGGGCTTACAGCTCCAGAGGGTGGACAGACCACATGCTGGGGAATGCATGGCTGCAGGAGCCTGACTACACATATCAGTAGTCAGAAGTAGACATAGAATGGGAAGTGGGCCAAGCTATATGACCTCAATGCCTACCCCTGGTGATGTATGTCCCCCATCAAAGATCCACTTCCTAAGAGCCCATAACCTTCCTAAACATAGCCATCAGCTGAGGACTAACTGTTCAATCACATGAGCCTATGGGGGACATTCCTCATTCAAAGCACAGTGGACTGCTTTCAAAATTAGATGTAGAAATACGCATTTCCCCCTCCTCATTCTGTTAGCAATTGCTATTGTTTTATTTTTCTTTTATCTAATTAGCTATGGAGTGGTTATTTTAATGATTTAATGGAGAAAGGTATTTTGGCAGGTTGGAGCCAAGGAGTACCACAAAGTCACATTATGTAACAGATCCCACTTGAGAGGCTTATGGGGGGGCGCAGATCAGCCTCTGAATGAGGGTGGAAGGAAGAGAGAGCTGGAAGAGAAGGTGCTAGCTTTTTATAGGGGGTATAGTGCATGCACGTAGGGAGAGTGCACTGCTTCTCCAGGCAGAAGCCACAGTGTCACATCTTGGCCCCTGCTGCTGACATGTCCTGTTGTCATGTCCTGATGTCACTTGGTCCCCAAGGGCAGGCTGGTATAAATGCCTGAATACTAATAGTTATTGTTTACATTAATTACATTTCTCTAATTAGTAATTAGTTCAAGCAGTATCATCCCTATGGCTGCACAGGTTTGTCCTCACAAATTCCATTTTCCTATCTGTCCCCTGTCTTCCCATTGTGATGCTTGTCTCTTACCAATATTGAGGTGCTTTTTGTAGACTGGTAAAGGCTCCAAGCCCATAGTGTCTGCCCATTAGCTTTGTCTGTAATAGTTTTTGCAACATAAATGGTTTTATAAACTCAAATATGTTTTTTTTCCCGGTTAAATAGTATATTATGCTGTGTCCTGGGTTTCCCCCTCTAATTTTTGTTGCTTTATTTATTATATTTAAGCATTTACTCCATCTGGAATTCCTTTTTATTTGTAATTTTAGAGAATGAACCATGTTCTACCAGATGGGTAGCCAGTTGTGCCAGCATCACTTACTAATTTGTGCTTTATGCCATTCAATTGAGATATATTTTTGTCATATATTAGAATGTAATATCAACTAGATTTTAGCTTTGGAGTCTGTTCTACCCCACTGATCCATTTATATCCATACCAAGTCATTATTGATCCAATTTCAGTCACGTTGTAGCATTTTTCTTTTCACTATT